TCAATGTTACTTTTGAAGATCAACAAAAGATAAACAAATTTGCACGGAATACAAGTAGAATCACAGAGCTGAAGGAAGAAATAGAAGTAAAAAAGGTATTGAAAATATGTATCTTATTGAAGAAAAATAAAAGTTCTTTATACTATAGCTTTTGAACACTGAATTCAATAATATGTGATTGTGTCTCTGGGCTCTTTGTTGTGGATGACATAACCCACGCCAGTTAGTTTAAGAGGAAGGACGTTGTTCAAGGGGTGTGAGGTAATGGAGAGATTGTTGAGGGGTGTGACTCTAGGCTGAGGTTCCAGGACCACATCTCAGAACTTGGCTGGTGACGGGACTGCTGTTGTCTCCACTGATCCCAGAGCCGGCTCCTCCTCCACAGTGAGGAAGCTGCCCCTCAGACCTAGGAGCGCGGGGCCGCCGCCGCTGCCCGCCCCTGTAAACCAGGGGCCTTGTGCCCAGCCTCTCTCCTCAGGCGGCTCCTGAGTTGAAGTCCAGTTCAACGGCATTTGCTTGCTGGGATTGAAGTTATTATTTGCTTTCATCCTGTCATCAAGCGAGGCTGAGAAATGTCCGTTTGTGTTTCTGTGTTTGCTCTTCCCTAGGAAGGCAGAACTCACAAAGTAGGAGACATTTTGAGTGGCCAAAGATGCCCGCTGTCCACCACAGGTGCTTCCAGCAATCTGGAAATATCTAGAGGACAGTGTGTTAGTTAGCTCTTAAGTGCTTCCTTATGAAATGTCATCTAAAAATCTAAGAACGTCTTATTTTAGTGTGATAATGCCTTGTGAAAGGGTCCCTCAGAGGGTCAGTGTCCTCAAATTAATATTGGCTTTAGCCTCTTATCAGGGTATTTTGAATATATTTTTCATTGCTGTTTACTTTTGTGTTTATAGAAACAACTCCAAAATTTAGAAGATGCTTGTGAGGACATCATGCTTGCAGATGATGACTGCTTAATGATACCTTATCAAATTGGGGATGTTTTCATTAGCCATTCTCAAGAAGAAACACAAGAAATGTTAGAAGAAGCAAAGGTATGTTGAAGTCTTTCCCTGAGTGATGAAGTCTAACTCATAAATTAGGGTTTACATCATTATAAAGAACATTTAATATAGGTGTAGGGAAGAGAATGGATTCTAGCTAATATTTTGTGGGTTCTCACAATGTCCCAGGCATGCTCTGGATGCTTTGCAAGCATGAGTCTAGTTAATCCTAACAATGACTCTATGAGATAGGTGCCGTTAATCCAATGTAGAGTTGAAGAGGCTTAGAGAGGTTGTAGGTCTTACTCAGAGTGACACAGAGGGAGTGATCTTCTGACTCCAGAGTCTGTGCTCTACACTAAAAGTATTTAGAAAGTACAGAATATTGTAAAGTGGGAAAGACAAATCACCTGTAATCCCACTACCCAAAGATGATCGTCCATAATGAACACTTTCATGTATTTCTCTTATGTTCTCTTCTCTTTCTCTGTGTAGTTTTGCTTCACATTTTGGTCAGTTAACATCTAGTAGGTGTATTTTCTCATTCCATTGAGTGTACATTCATTTGTCCAGCGGATATTCACTGGGAGCCTGCTCTGGGCCAGGCACACGTGCTTTAAAAGCATCATTTTTGATGACTGTTTAATGGCATGTTGGAGGACATGGATTCAGCTCGCTGTCCTCCTGTGGTTAACATCAACTTGTTTCCGCTATTTCCCCATAGTAATATTGTAGCGAGCATTCTAATACCTAAATCTTTGTTCACATTTAGGAAATTCTTTTAAGGAAATAATGAGAGAAGCGTAATTAATTACCCCATCAGAGTATGGATTCATTGACAACATTTGAGGCATTTGAGACATCGTATGAAATTAGTTTCAATTCACACGCCCTCCAGCTGTGTATGAGAAGGGCAATCACATTGTGTGTGAGAAGCTGATGGCAGTTAAACATTTTCTAAATCTTTTAAAAAAGTGCTTAATTAACTTGAATGTTATTTAAAATGATAGTCTCCTTTCTTCAAATGTCGTAGAAAGCAAAACTTTCCATGAATTAAACCTACATTTAATAAACCTTGGGAAGAAGTAATACTTTTGCCCCTGGATCTTTCCATGCAGAAACATTCATTGTGTCTGCCCTTATGTTTAAATCTTTTCTTTCATAGTAAAATTTTGTAATTTTATTCCTCTTTTATTTTAACCATCCTAAAATATTCTTATTGGAAGTATTTCAAGATGGTTTGTGGTTTTTGTCATTATTGTGAACATCATCTTCCCCCCATACTGAACCTTTATTTTGTTATTTATTTATTTATTCATTCCAGAAATATTTATTCAGTGCTTACTTTTGTCGGGTTCTACCATATACTAGGGACACAGGGGACAATAAAACATGCCAGGTCCCTGCTCACGTGGAGTATATAGTCTAGATGGAAAGAGAGAAAATTAAGCAAGTAAAACTAATAATGAGTAGAAAGTGCTATGAGTGTAGAGCTGCCTTTAAGAGCACAGAGCAGGGGGTCTATACTGATCTAGACATCAGGGTTCAGCGAGGGGCTCCCTGGGAAAGCGATGAGATGACAACTGAAAAATCAGCAAGTCTTAGCCAGAAACGGGGAGGGGCTGTTCAGATGGAAGAGACAGCGTGTGTGAGTGAGTGGTCATAAAAAGATCCTGGTACAAAGATAGAACTGAAAGATGTTTAATTGTCAGGAGATTTGGGAGCATCTGAACATGTGGCCAGATCTTGAAGAACTCTGTCAGTTGAGTTGAATAAATTGACTTTATTTTAGCAGAGGTCAGCAAACTTACTGTGAAGGGCCAGATAGTAAATATATTAGGCTTGTGGGCTACCTGGTCTCTGTCATAATTACCATGAAAGCAAGATGTGTAAATGAATGCCATGGCTGTGTGCCAGTAAAACTTCCCAAACCAGCTTCAGGCTAGATTTGGCTCATGGGCTGTAGTTTGCTCACCCTTGTCCTAGGGCAAGAGGAGCCTTTCAGGGATTTTAAGAAAACAGTGATATGCTAAGACTTGTGGTTTTAAGATAATTTTCTTGTATGTTGTAATTTTACTTATTAATTAGGTTTTCTATGTGTAGAAATTATCTTCTTTCTAATAGCCGTATATTTTGTTTCTATTTCTTGTCTTAGAGCAGTGGTTCTCAGACTTTTAGCATGCATCAGAATCACCCACAGGAGGGCTTGTTAAAATTCAGATTGTTGGTCCCAACCCCAGGAATTTCTAATTCAGGAGGATTGGGGTGGAGCCCTAGAATTTGTATTTCTAACAAGTTTCCACGTGATCTGGGGGCCACACTGTGAGAACAATTGGTCAGATCTCTAACAGAATAACATTGTCAATACTAGGCATTCCTCTTTTGTTCCCGATATTAATGGATATACCATTTGTATGGTTTCGTATTTTCTTTGTCATGTTTGGGAAGAATCCTTTTTTTGATCTTAGCCAGGAAGGAATTTCTGAAATTTCATGCGTTTCATGTGGGCAAAGCTGCTCTCTCTTATAAATAAGGCACTCATTACTGCTGTCTCTCAAAGTCTAGCTCCAGGGGCTTCGTAATTAGTGACAATTTCTGCCAGATTTTGACTGTAAGTTGTTATTCTTAATTATGGGTGGTAGTGTGAATTTTTATCATTTCTTCTAGTTTCATAGTTATTTTTGTTGAAAGTTGGAGGAGGTTGTGTCAGAAGCCAGGCCTATGATAAACTGTTTACCAGAAGTGTATGTATATGATTCTTCCTTTATTAGGGTATGATAATTTAGGAATTAATTTTCTTTTATCTATTGTGGGTTTTAAGTCAGCAAAAACTGAAAAAAAAAAATGCTTGATTTATTCTATAGTAAGCAAATATAGACCATGAATTAAAAATGCCCACATTCAGACTTTTGTTACTTAGCTGCCTGTCCAAGTTTAGAACGTTTTTGACTTAAAATCCTTCCCAAATATAACTTCATCCACAGATGCTCAGAAGTTATTCAGTTGCATAGAATTAATTTAAATTATTTTTTTTCCAGAAAAATTTGCAAGAAGAAATTGACGCCTTAGAATCCAGAGTGGAATCAATTCAGCGGGTGTTAGCAGATCTGAAAGTTCAGTTATATGCAAAATTTGGGAGCAACATAAACCTTGAAGCTGATGAAAGTTAAACATTTTATAATACTTTTTTTAATTTGTTTAATAAACTTGAATATTGTTTAAAATGATAATTTCCCTTCTTCAAATGATATGGAAAGCAAAACTTTCTTTTTTTAATATTTTCATTTATTTAATGGAAACTTGCCTATTTTCACGTCTTGCTTATTTATTTTATATTTTTAAAAGAAAACAGTATTCATCTATGTATTTTGCATAACAATTATATCAAGTGTAGGGACTTTATGTCGTGTTATTAAAATCAGTTATGCAATCTTTTATGTTTCTATATTATCATTTAGAATATTTGTTGCAGTTTTTCTTTATAAGAAAATTTAACAGATGTGTCATGTTGTTTATATGTGTCTGTTTGAGTTGCTCTTTAGAGATGGTGGAAGCACTACAGAAAGATCCAGTCCTACATCTGTCTACTCATGTCACAAGTAGAACTTGGTCACATACTAAAAAGTCTGTATATATTTTATTTACATATATGTAATATATATTATGTCTAAACATATGTATTTCACATATCTCTTACATATATATCAATATCATGGATCTTGGAAGAAGAACCAGATAATGCTCACACGTGTTGAGGCATGTTGAGCTTCATAGCAGCAGAGGAGAATAGAAGAATATTTTAGAAACCAAGCTATGTATCAATAGAAAGAAGTGTTTAGTGTCTTTTTTTTTTAATTATAAGTTTTAGACTTTATGTTAGTGCTTTGTAATTAATTGGGGTTTATATTGGTAAGGATGTGGAAGTTGAGCAGCTGTGTATTTAAAAATAAGGCTTTTTTCTTAAATAAAGAGTGCATTTGCCCCTGCCCAAAAGATACATTTTGGGATTTGGAAGGCCTAATTTTATGAACTTTCCAGCAGATGGCACTGGTATGCCAAAATACCAATGGAAGAATCATAATACAAACATGAGCATATTTCTAGGATTAAGTATACATAATTTTAGAGGAAATGTTATATTTTAACCTTCGAGGCTAAACATTGCATATGGATTTTTTTTTAAATGTTTAGAAACAATTCAGGCTTAAAGATAGAATATATAATATTAAAATTCTTCATGACATAAAAGCAAACTTATAAATTGCTGTAAAATTTTCCCGAATAGTGATATTCAAATTCTAGACAATGACTTTTACAAGGATATTTTTTCTTGCTTGCATTTGGTTAGTGTTCAGTTAGAGGAGTGAGACTGGGGGCATGTATCAGTCAGGTTGTAGCAGGAACTAGATAACACATTCAAGTTAGAGTAATTTGAGAAAACTTTAGCCAAGATTACAAAGGTGTGGAGGGTTTTGTACCCTTGAGGCCAGGGGAGGGAGCAGCCACCCCCTTCATCCTGGAACCCAGGCAAGGGCTGTGTTCACTTGATGAGGGACAGAGCCAGCCTGTGACATCCCTGCAGTGATAGAGCTGGGGGACTGGACACCCCGAGCTCATTCTGTCTCTCTCCAGAATCCGGCTGGTGCCCACCATTGGCCAAACCCAGCTGGAATCCAGAGGTCGTCCATAACATCAGTCTGTTGAAGGCCAGAGGGGTGGTGAATGGATGGATCTGGAGGGGCTAATGGGAGATCTGACATGGGAGGGTGGCTAAAGTTGAACTGTTTAGAAATTTTAACGATGAAGACTCGTCGACTTATGTGCCAGAAAGTGAATTATATAACTGGTTGGGACTTAAAATTTTATCAGCACATTATCAAGTAAGCCTAATAACAAGAAAACAAACATCTAACATGAGGGGAAGTTACATTATACATTGTTTTTCTTAATTTACCTATGACATTCTAGGATGTCAGAAATATTTGATTCCTATTTTAAAATAATTTCGGAGGTGTCCAAAAGCTTTTTCTTATTTTTGTTAACAGTAAATTCCTTGAGCATGTACTGTGCCTGAAGAGGCAGCTAATACACAGCCCCAGCCAGTAGTTGCCACGTAGAGGTTTTGTTCTTTGTCACCACTAACTTTTTTTTAGATAAGAATCTTGATTTTTTATGTACAATCACTATTTTTAGACAGTGCGGCTTTTTTTTTTTTTTTAAAGCAAAGCAGGCTAAACAAAAGATATTTGTAGAACAAATTTGACCATCAGGCTGCCAGTTTGCAAACTTGTCTGCACAATATGCTACGTCTTTTCCAGGCTTTTGATAGGAAATACATAGTAAATGACTTGCCCTGTACATAGCACAGCTGCTATGCTGTGCTGCTGACTTTTATTTTGAATACCTCTCAAATCTGTCCATTTCTTTCTCTCTCCGCAACCACCACTACGCTGGTCCAAGCCTTAAGAAGTTCTAGTTGAAAGCATGACTAACTGGGGGTGGGAGAGGAAGAAAATGCCTTTTGAGATCGAGTTTTGTCAGCTGGAGGCCAGGGTGAGTCTAAAGGGCTTGAATAGATCTACATGATTGGAGTGGTATTTTAAAATAATTTGGCAGTTGTTATGAGGGTTTTACTACAAAGAGATGGAGGTAGGGACACCAGAGGTTATTGCACTTTCCCTGGTGCAAGTCAGTTGGCGGAGGAAAGAAAAAGAAGCTAGGACTCAGAGAAGGTGGAATATATAGGTCTTGACAGATTGGAAAGAGGAAGGTGAAGGCAGGAGGAGGAAGCCAAAGATAACTTGGTTCTGAGCACAGGCCGTATACAGTCTGCAACAGGTTTTCTTTGGCTTTCAAAATTTAAAAAAATTCTTTTAATTTCTTGCCAGAATAAAATCAGGAGATCTCACATAAAAATTCACAGTTGCCATTTGGAAATAGGGTCCCAGTGTTGCCAATCTTCAGCTGCTCACCCATTAGGTAAAGCAGGGTCTCTCCAGTTCACCCGGTCCCCACCCAGCCCACTCCCCTCGTTTTCATCACCTGCCTGGCACCTGTCCATATTTGGCTTTGTGACCCCCCCCCCCCCCCCGCCCCGGAAGCCTGCTGGTGTTGTTAACAAAGGCAGGGAAGTCAGAAGCGTCTGGTTTGCATAGGCCAGGGTGGGGAAGGGGACGATGAAGAGAGCATGAGTTTGGCTTGGACACTTGGAGCTGGTAGGCCGTCAACCATGTGGAGATGTGCACTGGGCTATTGGAAAGGTGGGTTGAAAGGAGTATGTGGGGCTGGACTAGAGACGTGCTTCTTAACATCTAAGGTACATACATATCACCTGGGGGCTTTGTTAAAATGCAGATTGTGGTTCAGTGAGTTTGGGCTGGGCCTGAGATTCTGCATTTCTAACAAGAGTGCAGGTGATGCTGATAGTGCTGGGCCCACGGGCCATGCACTGGGCAGCTGAGGCAGCTTGTCATGAAAGAGAAGAGGACTTAGGAAAGAATGCAGTTGGGAGGAAAAAGAATCAGCAAAGGAGACAGAAGCTGCAATAGTGATGCGAGATCCATGGGAGTGCAGAATCCTAGAAGACAAAATGAGAGGCTAAAAGCAGGAGACAGTGGGGAATATCAGAGCCAAAAAGAGCTGAGAAAATGGAGCACTATTTGATGACTAAGAGTTCTTGATTTCCTTCAAAAAAAAGGTTACCTCGGGCCCACCCACGTACACAGACACCTGAGCCCCGCACACACCTGAGGTATGCGGCTCACTCCCATCACAGTGGCACACACGGCAGTGGTTCTCAAAGGGGCTACTTGTGTGGTTTGCAAAAGGTTTCAAGTGCTTAGGATGAAAGACAAATCAAAATATTCCCCAGTTGAGTGGTTCTCAAAGTGTGAACATGGGGCCAGCAGCATCACATCACCTGAAAACTTGTTAGAAATGCAAAGAATTTCCCCCATTGGGCATGATGTTGAGGGATATAAGGGACATTGCCTTCAACAACTATTTCATAGAAACTGGGGGTGGAACCCAGTGTTTTAACAAGCCTTCCAGGTGATTGTGACTCAGCTAAAAACTAGCCTGGCTCAAATAATTCAGGCAGGGGCGGTGGTGGGGGGGCGGGTGCTGAATGCCAGCTGAGAATTCTTGTCATGCGATTATAGTGATGAAAAGAGTAACAAGAAACGGGAGCATCGAAGAAGATTGACTCATCCAGCCTAGGGGTGGAGGGTCGCTGGAGGTGTCCTGGTAGCTGGTAGTAAACAGATTATAAAAGATTAAGCAGTGGGCGACATGGGATTTGGAGGTAGAAGTGAAAAGTATTTTTACAAGGAAGTTAACAGCGGAAGGAAGGAGATAGATTGTCCTTTAATGCCATTGCAGTGTAGATGGAAAGGCCTTTGTTTTGGTTTTTGTTTTATGAGGAAGATCGGCCCTGAGCTAACATCTTTTGCCAATCCTCCTCTTTTTGCTGAGGAAGACTGGCCCTGGGCTAACATCCATGCCCATCCTCCTCCACTTTATATGGGACGCCGCCACAGCATGGCCTGACAAGCAGTGCGACAGTACACGCCTGGGATCCGAACCTGCGAACCCAGGGCCGCCGCAGCAGAGCGCACGCACTTAACCACTTGCACCACCGGCCGGCCCCTGTTTTGTTTTTAAGATCAGGGAATACATGAGTACATGGAAGAGTAGATGGGAAGGAACCCAGGAGAGAAGCTGATGAAAAAATCAAAGGACGAGAGATAGTGGAGCTCAGCAAGGGAAGAGTCGGGGCAAAGGAAGAGGATGGTGTGGGGCCTATCCAAACAGTACCTGGGAGAACAGAGTTAGATGCACACTTGATAAAAACTCGTCCCCGGGTGGCACAGCAGTTAAGTTCGTGTGCTCCACTGCGGCGGCCCAGGGTGCGCCGGTTCGGATCCCGGGCGCGCACCGACGCACCGCTTGTCAAGCCGTGCTGTGGCGGCGTCCCGTATAAAGTGGAGGAAGATGGGCATGGATGTTAGCCCGGGCCGGTCTTCCTCAGCAAAAAGAGGAGGCTTGGCAAAGGATGTTAGCTCAGGGCTGATCTTCCTCACAAAAATAAATAAATAAATAAAAGAAAAGAAAAACTCTTTCCTGAGGAATAAGTGATGGAAAAAAATCCAGAAGAGTGGCTAACTCTGGAGGGAGAAGATACGATTGGGGAGGCAAAGACAGGAGGCCTCAGTAATCTTTGTTATATTCTGTTCTTGAGCTGGGTCATGGGCACACAGCTGTTTACATTTAGTGTGTTTATTATGGATCCTTTTATGTGCATGAGATCATTCACAATAACAAGTTTTTATAAAATTTTTTTAGTTATGGCACAAATATAAACTGGAAAAAAAATGCATATTGTGAGATTGTTACTGATGTTTAACTGCATCACTTTCAACATTTTTTATGTC